GGGGTAACTGAAAACTCTGTTTTATAGGATTTAATATTTTTTTCTTTTCCTCACATGACCTCCTATAAAAGAAAGCTACTTTTTGAAACCTACCTCAAAGATCTTTCTAAATTGACAGCCTCCTATTGCACAATGTCCATGAACTGTAGCAAGGTTGTCTATTTAATTTTCTCATTCATTAGACAAAGACTAGGTGAGTGAGTCAGATATGAATACACAAAAGAACTTTATATTCAAAGGAGGAAAATTATATGTATCCAAAAACTACAATACAAGGTGTAATGTATGATGATGCAAACAACTGAAGAAGTAAAAGAAACTATCAAAGTTCAGAGGACAGAGAAATGCTGTAAATGATATCACAACATTTTAAAGACACCTTATTTTCTAAATAGTCTTAATGCAATCAGCATTTCATGAACACATATCTAGAAAATTATTTTATGCAGAAATTGCTGCAGAGATCACACTGTGGTATTTCTACACATTCCAGGGATATTTGATTGTAAGGAAAATGAGATGGAGGGATGCCCATCTATCTCCATGTGACAGGGGTATCCTTAGAAAAGCATTATTGCTTTATTTAAAGTTGAAAATACAATAGTTGTTGTTGTTCTGTGCCGTCGAGTCGGACCCGACTCAGAGCGACCCTCCTTGGGTTTGTGAGGCAGTATCACTGCGGAAGTAGATGGCCCAACCTTGATGGATTCTTGGACACGATGCTAAAGGTACAGGTCACAAAAGACAAATAAATGGGATTTCTTCAAAATCAAAGGCTCCTGTTCATAAAAGGGATTTGGCAACAAACTGAAGAGACAATCTCCAGACTGGGAGAAAATTTTAGAAACTATGTAATAGACAAGGGTCTAATTTCCAGAATATATAAAAGACTCTTATAACTTAACAACATTCTACCACTATTGACATGGTTTTCATGGCCAATATTTTCTGCTGTAGATTGCCAGGTTCTTTGTAGTCTATCTTAGTCTGGAAGCTCCCCTGAAACCTGTCTACCGTGACCGTACTGGCATTTGAAATAGTGGTGGCATGGCTTCCAGCATCACAGCAACACACAAGGCACCACAGTGTGACAAACTGACTGATGTCATGATAAATGGAGAAAAGATTGACATTGGCAAGGATCTTAGTTTACTTGGATCCATAATCAATGCCCATAGAAATAGCACTCAAGAAATCAAATGAGCTATTACATTGGGCAAATCTGCTGCAAAAGACCTCTTTAAAGTATCCGGAAGCAAACATGTCAATTTGAGGACTAAAGTGTGCCTGACCCAAACCATGGTATTTTCAATCTTCTCCTACTGATGCAAAAGCTAGGCAGTGAATAAGGAAGACTGAAGAAGAATTAGGAGCTCTGGTGGCATAGTGCCTAAGTCATTTGACTGCTAACCAGGAGGTTGGCAGTTCAAACCCACCAGCCACTCCTCAGAAGGAAGACTGGGCAATCTATTTCTGCAGAGATATTGTCTTGGAAACCCAAGGAGGGGTCACTGTGAGTAGGAATTGACTCAGTGGAAGTGAGGCTGGAGTTTTGGTTTGAAGAAAAATTGGTGCCTTTGAATTATAGTGTTGACAAAGAATATTGAATATACACTATGGATTGCCAGAAGAATGAAAAAAAAAATCTGTCTTGTAAAACATACAGGTTCAATGCTCCTTATAAGGGAGGATGCTGAGATTTTGTCTTATGTGCTTTGGACAAGTTATCAGGAGGGTCCAGTCCCTGGAGAAGGACATCATGCGTGGTAAAGTAGAGGGTCAATGAAAAAGAGCAAGACCCTTCAACTAGATAGTTAGACACAGTAGCTGTAACAATGCACTCAAACTTAGCAATGACTGTGGGGATGGGACAGGACCAGGCGGTATTTCATTCTGTTGCACTTGGGGTCACTAAAAGTCAGATCTGACTCCATGGCATCTAAGAATACAATAACTTAACATGAAAACAATAACAGCAACAGCAACCCAATTAAAAAAAAAAAAAAATGAGCAAAAGACCTGAATAGACATTTCACCAAAGAGGATATTCAAATGTGTTCATCAAACACATGGAAAGATAGACAGTATATATTTTATTGCATTTGTAAGCATTATAGAGAAAGGAAGTTTGACAGAAAAACTCTGGTACCCCTCTTGATAATTCACTCTTTCTCATAGAAATAGAGGTATAATATGTCTGTTGGATAAGAGACAATTTCAACCAAAATAAAAGATTTTTTTTTTAGCTAATGTGTTATGTGTTGTGCATTGTTATTATTTTCCTTGAATTAGTCTGACAAAAGGATATTAAAAATGTTCTTGTTTAATTAATACTCATGTTCAACATATTGAGGATGAACATTCAGATTTTCATGTACAATTTTCTAGACAAATTTATTACAAATGTATTATAGGGGGACCATTAATATAATGGGTAAGGCATTTGGCTGCTAACCAGAAGGTCAGTGGTCCAAACCCACCAGCTGCTCCATAGGAGGAGGATGAGGTAAACTTCCTTAAAGATAAACAGCCTTGGAAACCCTATGAGTGTTGTTATGGGTTAGAATCGACTCAATGGCAGTGGGTTTGTTGTTGTTGTTGCTGTTGTTATTTGAAGCAAATACCTAATATGTTGTTTTTATAAAAACATTTTGAAGATACATATGGATTGCAGTAGTGCTGTTTATAATTTTAGAGAGAAAAGCACTGTAAACTATTTTTGTGATATTTCCTAAGGACTGGAAAAAACATATACATATTTTATGAATGATTATAAAACATTCCAAGTATGTTTCATCTCTCTCGTAAAATGAAGTAAATACGCAAGCTCTATTGCAGTATGATTTGAGATTACTATCACAGTTGTCATTATTGACTTAAATTTGAAATGAAGTGAACAATTTTGTTATTACTTCACATGATTCAGATAACTTAATTGGAGCTTGAAATGTGAGCATAAGAAACCAATTGTTGAAACTTAGCATTAGTGATTAAATATGATATTTGTTTTCAAAGTAGGATTATTGCTTGTTTTGATATCTTATCTAAACATAATTATTTTATTTAGCTCTTTTTACATAGTTGTTGTTATGTGTCATCGAGTTGGCCCTGACTCATAGTGACCCCTCCTTGGGTTGCCGAGGCAGTATCACTATGGATAGTAGATTGCCTAGCTTTCCTTCCCCGGAGTGGCTGGTGGGTTTGAACTGCCAGCCTTCTGGTTAGCAGACAAGTGCCTTAGGCACTATGCTACCAGAGCTCTTAGTGTAGTCGTGAAAAAAAGAGCCCTGATAGCACAACAGTTAAGTGGTTGGCTACCAACTGAAAGGTGGACTGTTCAAATCCACTCAGTGGCTCTGTGGGAGAAACCATGTGATCTGTGCCTCTAAATTACGGCCTAGAAAACTCTATGGGCCAGTTCTACTCTGTCACATGGGGCTACTCTGAGTTGAAAATTGACTCAATGTCACCTAACAACAACAAAACTTGGGTTACTTTTAGGAAAATCTCAAAGTGCTAAGATGGGTTAAACAGTGTTCATATAATTATAATATTAGGTTCACAGTTTGGGGTAACAATAGTCTCTTACCTTGTGATTCCTAAATAATTGCTGCATTTATATATGTTGTATGACTTTGTGATCCTGAAATGATGTAAGAAATAGCATCTTTCCATTTTTTTCAACACTTGGATTTCAGAATGACCCTTTAAAACTGAGTTATTCATTATCATTTCTTAGTGTGAATAATTTTTACTATGAGTGTATGAACTATCATCCAGCATTATTTTTTTTAGTAGATAGTTCTATGTTCTGAAGCATTTGTCCTGAATTTGATTCTTTTTTTATTTTATTCTCTTCTCCAGAACAAAACATAAGTAAATGTGGCTCATATCAGAGTGGACAAGAAGAATCTGTCTCCAAATCGCATCAACTTTCCCTGGGATCATCTCCTGAGTCTAATGGTATCATTGGAAAGCAAAACATCAGATCATGTATTTCAGAAAACTCAAATAAGGATGATAATATGCTGTCTTCTCACCCTGGAGAACAATCAGGAGGTGAAGAGAGTCCCAGGTCCTTATCATCCTCTGATCTGGAATCAGGAAATGAAAGTGAGTGGGCCAAAGACTTCACTGCTCTCAGGTCTTACCTTCCCACAGTGTCTTCAAGACCAAGAGATCCTCTTGATATCCTTACCAAGATTTTCCCAAGTTACAGGCGCAGCCGGCTAGAAGGCATTCTACAGTTCTGCAAAGGGGATGTGGTCCAGGCCATTGAGCAGGTCTTAAATGGGAAAGAACACAAGGCAGATACCGGGGAGCTAGAAAGCTCAGGAGCATCTGGACCTACAGCCTTTCAGAGAGCCTCTAACTTTAGTCTAGGTGCAACTGGCTTTAGAACTCTAGGGAATAAATCAGCATTCTCTCCTATTCAGACAACTTCTGCTTCATATGGAAGCGATTCCAGTCTCTACAGTTTAAGTCCTAGACTAGGTATCAACCCACTACAGCTGGCATATTCTTCTTCAGGAAGGGCGCTATCCAGTTTTATGTCACCCTACCTGACGTCTGGGTTGATACCTGCATTGCCTTTTAGGTCAGCTTTGGATTATTCTTTTTCAGGAATGATTAGGGATTCTTCTTACCTCCCAAGCAAAGATTCAGTAACTGGTGGTGGACTGTATTCCAGACTGAATCAGGATGATCATTAATGTATCTGCCAAGTCTCCCTTTCTGGAGTATTTTTAGTAGCTTATAATAAACACACATGCATACCACATCAAATGTGTACTATATAGTACAATATATATGTGAGTGTACTATTAGGCCTTAAAAAATACTATTTTTTTCGTAAGCAATGGAATAGACTTTAGCTCTGAAAAAATGTCTTTTACAGTTAGTAAAAGAAATACCTGAAATATTTGAACATTATATGTGCCTTGAATAAAGCTATATCAGGAGATCTTTTTAGTTTAACACATTTTCTCTCTCAAAATATGTTGTAAAATTGCTATTTTAAAAATATTCTTGTTTTTATTTTATTGGAATATATAGTTTTAAAATACTTTTGTAAGAATAAAGCAATCTAGCATAGTATAAAGTGAGCCAAAAGAAAGAGCAGGAAAATTGAGATAATACTAAGTAATTATTATTTAAAAACGTTTTCTCTTCTGTTACTTGTTCACGGAAGAAAATAAAGCTATTCAAAGTACTTAAAAAATATTTGAATATAAGTAAGTGATTGGTTATAAGGAAAAATTTGGGTAACTTGAATTTCTTGTTTTTCTGTCTTATTTTTCATTCTTATATGCCATTTGTGACAAGAAGAGTCATTATTGTTTTTTTCCGTTTAAAATGGGCTAAGAAATAAATCTTCGGAAATGAGAGTGCGCCATCTCCTGGCCACTATCACTGATTGCAAATCAGTTCGGTCAAATGCCTTAGGCACTATGCCACGAGAGCTCCTCTAGTGCAGATTTTAGGAAATAACGGTTTCTTAAATAGTATAATAGGAGCTCTGGTGGCATGGTGCCTAAGGCATTTGACTGCTAACCAGAAGGCTGGTGGTTCAAACCCACCAGCCACTCCTCAGAAGGAAGGTTGCGCAATCTACTTCTGTGGTGATACCACCTCAGAAACCCAAGCAGGGGTTGCTATGAGTCAGATCCGACTCAATGGCAGTGAGTTTTATTTTTTGAAATAGTATAATATAAACTAATCACTGTTTGAAATAGTCCTTTGGATTATGTTACACAGAAAATTTTATATTATAAAGTGAAAATCTACTATGGATGATAATTTTAATCTTTGTGTGTATGTGAACCTGTATCTAGGAAAATACCCTTTTCCATGTGCTTGTGAGAAAGATATGGCACTCCTTGAAGACAAACATAATTTTCTTCAGAATATTAAAATAGCTGTTCATATAAATATTTAGTAACTCTACATGGATAATTCTTAATGCAATGAAGAGAGACATAAGATTTTCAAAGTGAGAATTTGAAATTTCAGATTTTCTTGAGTTAGAAATACTTTATGTCCTCCATGTGGTGCATTTGAAAGCTTCTATATTTCAGTCAGTGGAAAGTCCTCAAGAAAATTGCTTACAAAACAGTTTCATGAAGTTTTTTTTCATGTGTCATCATTTTTTTAAGGACAGTAGCTTTATTATTATTGTTAGGACTAAATGGAAACCCAGCTGTGCTGTAAGATAGTTGATGCACCAGAGATGTTTTAAACAATCTGAGAAGCATGATTCACTACAGATGTTTTAAAGTTGATACTTTCTCTTTCTCTGGCTCTATCAGTGCTTTCATTATGAAAGATTTTCCATGAAACTAATAAGAATGTATTTCTAAAGTCTATTTTACCAACAAATAGCATATTAAATCACTGCAAATTATCCGGTGCTGATTTAGGATGTAAATATGTTTAACAGAGTATGCATTAATTATAGTGATGTGAATATGAGAAAGCAAATCCTGTAAAAATGGGATGCATTCAATAATCACTTATTAGAAAATCAGTTTAAATTCTAAACTACTTTAAATTCATGGTACAATGCCTGGGAAATAATTGATAATAGATCACTTTGAGACTTTGGTAAAACCAAAGAACTCTAGCCAAATGGCCCACAGGCACATGGTTCTGCATATAATTTCATGGGTTTCACAACTCCCCTAAGTGCTATGCAGGTTAGAATTCTTAGCAACTCTTAAGTTGTTCCCATTGCGTTAATTGATGTATTGAATGCTATTCTCTCCCTCCCCCCAAAGTCCTGCAATAGATCCTATGGAGGATTATGAGTGTAAAATATTTCACTCTCAAGGAAGTTACCTTATATGACAGAAATCTGGTTGAATAAGACGACAACGCTCGAGTTGCTTGATTCTTTGTGTGGTTTACATCATTATGTGCATATATCTGTTTGAGAAACTGAATTGCTTTTGAACTAGAAAGAACATCTGATATTGGAATTATTCCAATACTGTAAATTTGTAAAAGTAACTTTATAATCTTAAACATTTTAATATTATATAAAAGTTACATATAATGCTTTATGCATTTAATACCCTTTGCAATAATTTTAAAGCTTAAAGAACCATCCACTTGCATGTGAGAAAACTGAGGCTTAGAAGTAGTGTGGTTTACCCCCAAGGTTATAGAAATAGTGAGAGTCTTTGGGATGGAAGTTGCTTACTTCAATCTCAGTTAGATTATGTAGGAGTTCCTGGGTGGTGCAAGTGCGTAATGCACTTGGCTGTTAACCAAAAGTTTGGAGGTTCAGATCCATCCAGAGGTACCTCAGAAGAAAGGCCTCGTGATCTACTTCTGAAAAATGAACCATTGAAAACCATATGGAGAACACCTCTATTGTTACACAAAAAGGGTTTCCATAAATCAGAACCGACTCAGTAGCAACTGGTGGTGGTAATGAATAATGTCTGAAAGGAGGATTTAGGTCCGTTTTGTTCACTCACAGCTTTGTACAGTTTGTGGTACATAATAAGTACTTAAGTAATAGTTTTTCAGTGACTGAATGACATAAAAGATATAAATAATTAATTCGTTCAACAACTACTTATTAAGCGCCCACATTGTGCCAGGCCTATGTCAGGCACCGGAGATAAAAAGATCAGTAAGACAAAGGATCTCACCTCATGTTGTTCAGTCTATATTGTCATAAGTACTAAACCTACCAAACAGAGTTGGTATTATTTGACTATGTTGTACATCAGTGAGCTCTTTGTAATATTGACATTTATGCTCATGGATGCTGTTTGAGGCCTAAACTAAAACACTAGTTGGGAGTGGGAGGGAAGAGGGGTAACATCAATTTCCTTGTAGCTTGTCTAGGGAAATCTATTCCATTGGTCTGAGAGACAAACACATTTCAGGTCCATGGTGAAAAAAGTAGGTAAAGAAGAGCCTTTTGTTCACTTCATTGGAATCTGGTGTGGAAATAACCCAGCTTCCCCAGGGCCCTCTGCTTCAGAGTTATTACCAATACCTGGATTGGCTTCCTGGTCTAAGTAAGATCTAGATGTTCTTTAAGAAGGACTAGAGTTGAGGAGTTCATTGAAGAGGATATGAGTCAAATGATTTATTGATTTCCTCTGAAACTTCTGCTGAGATAAAAGGACTCTGCAGATTTTAGAACTCCACTTCCTAGAGATTCCTGAGAACTTTTGAAGTGATCCATCCATTCAATTCTTTACTTTTTAATATCCGCCTTTGGGTGATGTTCATTTCTTCTCCAACTGAGTCAAATCTCCCTTGGAATATCCTATAACTTTAATCCTAATGTATAGAATCAACCACATTAATAAGTCTTATATTAAAGACTAAGGAAATAGACGAGGGAAAAATGAATTGGTTAAGATTGCAAACATATACACACACACACACAGAGGCATGTGCACACAAATATGCTTACATCAAGGTAAGCAATAAATACAACTATAGAGCCTTCAAGTAGCCCCTAATGATACTGTGGTTAAACAGTTGTCTTCTAATTGAAAGGTTGGTGGTTTAAACCCACCAGCTGCTCCATGGAAGAATGATGTGGCAGTCTGCTTCCATAAAGTTTTACAGCCTTGGGAATCCTAGGGAGCAGTTCTACCCTGTCCTATAGAGTTGCTATGAGTTGTAATTGAATGGGTGGCAGTAGGTTTGGTTATAGAGCCTTCATAATTGCAACTAGTCATAGGATCAGAGCTGGTATTTATAACTTCCCTCTACTACCAATTTCATATTCTCCAAGCTCCCAACAAGTGTTTCAGTTGATTGTGGTTCTTCCCTGATAGTATGACCCAAATCTTCATTCCTGAAGGGTCTTTGCCACTGACACTCCTGCTTCCATTGGGTTGTAGCTTGTCATTAGATTTTTGTTTTAAACAGATTTATTGAGAACTGATTCACATACCATGCAATTCACCTACTTAAAGGGTACAATTTAATGTATACTCACAGATTACATGTAATAATCAAAACAGTGAATTTTAGAACATTTTCATCGCCTCTAAAAGAAACCCCATACTCTTTAGCTATTATTTCCTATCCCCCATCATCAACTCCAGTCTGCTAACTCAGTTTCTGTGTGTACATATTTCCCTTTTCTTAACATTTCATATGAATGGAATCATATAATACATGATATATTGTGACTAACTTCTTTCACTTAGCATTATATTTTTAAGGTTTATGCATTCTGTAACATGTATCAGTATATATTTTTAAATAACTTAATAACATTCCATTGTATGGATATACCACAATTTGCTTATCCTTTCACCAGTTGATAGACATTTGGGTTGTTTCCCCCTTTTGGATATTATGAATAATGCTTCTATAAAACATTCATTTTCTGGTTACCTAGTGCCACTCTGACAAAAAACATACCACAAATGGGATGGCCTTAACAAACAGGAGTTTATTCTTACAATTTGGAGGCTTTAAGTCCAAAGTGCCAGGCTCTAGGGGCTTGAGGTCCAGCTCTGCCTCCTGCTCCCGGCCCACTGGAGCTAGAGGCATTTCTTCACTCAGACAGCGGCTAGCTGTTGAGGATGAGAAGCCCCAAGGTTGACAAGTAAAAAGGCACAGTCCTGATGTTACCAAACCACACGACAGACCATTAACTTAAGTCCATTGTAAGTCCCAAGGTCGGCAGAGCATAGCAGGCTGCTGAACAATGACATGGCTACATGCAGGG